TGTTTTATAGACTTATCGATCGATTACACCAGATCACCATTGTTTGACGGCTTACATGGTTTACCATCGGTCGACGCTTACATACCACCATCGATCAACGCTTACACCACCATCGATCGGCACTTCTTACGGAGTTTAGTATTTTCAAACTTTTCTACATTTTTTTTACTTATGATTTATTTTATCCTACCCAGACCAGGACGAGATAACACTTGGGACAGTGTTATTTAAGTTTGAGGGATGTTCGCTGATGTTTTATTTATTGATTTTGATTTTCATTTATCTACTATATCTATTACGAGCTTTTTATTATTTTCATAGAGTCAAGAAGGGGATTATGATCAAACTTTATCTATTGACTAACCACACTATAAGCACCATTCTTAGGACTGTCGGTTGCAAAGATTACTAGAGATACCAAAGTGTATGATCCTGCCATTAGACTACACTTGGATAGAACGTTTGAAGGAAGTTGATTTCCAGCCTAATTTTGACATTATTTGCTTGCTTTAGGGCTTGGTATACACTGAATAGGGCTCCTTCTACAAGTCTAGAAGGTAAAGTCTGTGTGCTTCTGATTCTCTTCTCTTTCTTCGGCATCTACTAATAAAGGATTGAGATGATTTCTTGAGATGCAGAGGGGTAGGTACATTACCAATGACCCCACTATTATAACTCAAATGAATGATCACCCATCGCTGGAAGCGAGGGGTATGTACATTACCGATGACCTCATTATTCGTTTACACTTTGTCATATCAAAAACAAGATAGCAAGATGGACTGTAACATCATCATTGTCCATTATGTTTGAGATCCAAAAAGATTCAGAAAAGAGGGAAAAAGGAAGAAGAAAGGGATTAGAGAAGACTGAATGTGTATTCAGATACTTACAGGGGTAAGAGTCTTGCAGGGGTAAGAGTCCATATATAATTTGATCGATACTCCCAAGGTAAAGCCTGCACTTTTATTTTGTATACAAGAAATGAGGTCAGTAGAGGGGTGAGTTAAGCTATTATTTGCTAAAGTTGTTGGTAGAATGAATTTGGTTGCTAAGTTAGAATATGGTATATAAATTTTCTTTGAAATTGGCATAGTAGGATGTGGTGCAGCGTAGGGGTGATAGTAATACTATAGACTTAATGTGAGTCTCCGCTTTTCAAAACCTCTTTCACAGGCCACCTTTGTTTTACTTGAAGACAAGTAAAAGGTTAAGCTTGGGGGAGTTGATATACCTTATTATTTACCATTATTAGACCATGTTATGGATCCCATTTGGAGAGTCTATTATGTGTGTCTAGGCTATGTTTTAGAGTATTTACAGGTCCATGTACGTTTTGGAGTTATGTAGAGTACGTGGTGCATTTTGGATGAAGAAACCCGTAGCTGACAAGAATCAGCTAAGTCAGAGTCGACATAAGTGATCGACATCGATCGTCAAAGACACACTAGCGTCGGTCGATGGTCGCCGCGCACAAACCAAACTTTTTTCAGAACTGACTTAAAGCCCCAATCTACACATAATTACAAGATTACCTTTGATGAGTTTTACTTAGTTTATAAGGGTTTTTGTTATTGTTAGGCAGAAAACCGTGCTTTTGTTTACCATAGTTTTTTAATATTGTTTTGGGGAGAAGATCAAAACTTCTTCCATAGCTTTGTATCGGAACCCCAGTTTATTATCTATGCATTATATTCAGACTTTCGCTATTGGTTGCTTGATAATGTCTGAGTAGTTTTTCTTGTTAGATTTAGAGTTCTATGTGGTATTGATGGATTAGCCCAAAACTAGGATTGCTAGAAGAACTAATATCCATTGATTAGATCAATTCTTAATGCATATGATTTAGAGTAGCTAACTAAACCCTGAACTTAGGACACATACAACTATGACAGTAGGTTCTTTTCCTGAATCACATTCTGATTGAGCAAGGGTTGTTAGATGCATGCAAGAGATAGTCGGCCAATTATGGTGGATTATCAAGTCATCATAACCATGGATCAATATTGGTGTCTCACCATCGATCGACAGTTATATATGTAGGCGATTGATTCCTCGTGTATTAGATTTACTTGCACCCTATCTATTATAATCTACGTGTCTAAACACTAAATCTAACTATTTTTCTTATTTACATTAACTTCAATCCAAAAAATTCCTTTTTACTTAAACTTGAATTTGTATATAAATATTTCACCTACCTTAACTGTTATAATCTTATAAATCGATTGTGTGCCTTCGCTCTCTGTGGATTCGATCCCTAAATACTTTATCTGGTGTTTCTTGACAAAAATAGTTGTAGTTGAGTTTCATAGGGTAATTTGATAGAGTGGATTAGAAATTATAAAACCCTGGAATACAGCCCTGTCATAACTCTACATTACATTTTAACATTATGAGCTTGTTCCTTATCTCTTTCAAAGTTAAGTTTGAATCCAAAGGTTGTAGGTCATATGAACGTATCCTGAAATTGTTGAATTGCCAAAGTTGGAGTTTTTGCTAGGTTCTCTGTATACGAATGGTTTCTCACGAATCTAGAAATACATTTTCTTGATTAACTTTGTTCTTTGTTAACCATTGTGATCTCAACTAAATAGTTTATGTGTTGAATCTCTTCCCTTTGTTGTGCAGGTTCTTTATTTTTTGTATCCTTTCTTAATAATTGTTTGAATACTATAATCAGTAATAAAAGCATCGCTGAATGAATCTTCTACAAAATGAATCTGGTACAAAATGTCCTGGCATGCTATTACAAACTTTATCCGGATCAACTTTGTAATACGAAAACCATTTTTTGGTTTTATAGTTATAAAACAGATTAATTATGTAATATCTGGAAAATTAAATATCATATCCTTCTCAACATATTATTATCTGAAAAATGTAATTGTTAGTGGTTTAATTCGAAGCTAACACATTTGAAATCTTGGTTACCAAAATGATATTGCTGGCTGTTACAAATTTAATACGAAATATCTATACAATATCTAATTATAAAATTCATGCAGAAAGTTGTACAAAAAAAAAAACTAATGCACAAATATTAGTCTATCTATTCTAATACCTCATTTCAACCCCATGATGTATTTCAACGTTGTATTTTTTACTTTTGGAAAATATTTTTAGTGATTACTGCACTTGCTATTAAATTTAACTTTGTAATAGGTTATCATTTTTTTAAAAAATATAAAACAAAAATAGTATTAGAGTTTATATAAGACATTATTTCGCCACGATTTTTTGTTATAGTAATTGTATTTGATTATTAGATGAACGTCTTGAAAATAAATTGATCTCTTGTACACAACTCTATAAACAAACTACATTTGACTTGATCGGCAAAATGGGTGTATAAGCAGCCTTTAATAAAATTCATTCTGGAATTAAAAAAACCTCTAATTACATCTTTTCCATTTTCTTTAATTGTAGTGTTTGTGTGATTATATAAACTTTGGTTCCCCGAAAAATTATGTAATAAAATTTTTGATTGTGTGAGTTCCGGTTCCCTCCCCCCCCCCCATTTGTATGTAGTAAAATTGCAAATGTTATTATATAGACTAAAACAATATGGACATATGTTGTATAATCTATAGTCCTAGTGAGCATCTAACAAAGAAAATGTAAATGATCATATATATCCATGTGTTTTCATCAAGAAAACAACATCATGGAATTATGGTAATCGTAATATATGTTGATGATCAAAATATTATTGAAACTCAAAAAAACATACAAAAGGCACTAGACCATCAAAAAATATAATTTGAGATGAAAGATCACAAACATACAAAATATTGTCTTGGCTTAAAATGAGCATCCTTGAAAGTGTGTATTTGTGCACCTTTCCACATATACCAAATAGAGTTGAAACAATTTAACAGTATGAAAAAAAAAATTTTTTGAGCACCCGAAGGTCATTAGATCTTAATATTTAAAATGATTCATTTCAACCAAATGAGTAAATAAAAAAAATTCTTGGTCATGAAATACTATATCTAAGTGTATTAGGAGAATTGATGTACTTACCAACTATACACAACTTGGTATATCATTTAATATTAATATATTGGCAAGATTCGGCTCATCAGCCATGCGAAGACATTGGAATGAATTAAACATGTTTTTTTTGTTACCTTCAAGGGACATACTAAAAGTTCAAAAGGTAAAAATGTTGGTTTTCTAGATCCAACCTATCTATAAGATCTGCATAAATTCTGATCATAAACTTGATGCATTTTCAGGATCGCATGCACTGCTATATTTGGCGCTCTTAGAAACAAACCTCTGGGCCTACCTATTTGGATCATGATAAGATCATCGCACTCTGTGAATCGAATAGAGAATGTGTAAGGCTAAGATCAATAAGTCGACACATCTGATAATGAGATTAATGAAAATATGCAAACAATTATGTCATATGAATATAATGTGTCATGTGTTAGTCAAAGGTATGAAATATATATCAAAAATCATAGGACTAAACATATACATTTGAAGTTCTTATACCCAAGAATTTGAGAAAAAAAAACAAAAATATTGAAGTAAGATATGTTTGATAGACAATGTAGTCGACTTTTTCACAAAGTTGCGTCATTAACAAGTTTTATGAGATAACATAACATTCATTAGAGTGGAGACATTGAATTTTTTATTATTTTGTTTTCTTTTTGAAAAAAGGGCTAAGTGGAGACATTGAACTTCAAATGAAATAATTCGTCTATTTATTTTCACTGTACCTGTTTTGCGTACATAATTTTTTTGTCTTTATTTGTTTTATATAAATAATTATAAATACTACTCCCTCTGTTCCTAAAAGATAGACTTTCTAGTGTTTTCACACATATTAAGAAAACACATTAAATCACTATCGTTTTCAGTAATTTTCAATTTTTAACAACTTTTAGCCAATAGTAATCTAATAAAACGAATTAATTTTTTTGAAACTTGTAATTTTCTCATAGAAAACATAGAATATACATCTTTTTGAAACAAAATATTTTTCCAGAACATGGATCTTTTAAGAACGGAGGGAGTATTACAATAATATATACACAGAATTAAAAAGGAAAGAGAAGAAAAGTCGAACATCATAAAGTAAATGATTGATGGCATATAATTCAACAACGAGGAATTGATACGATTATTATTATTATCAAATCATCACTTTTCTGATATTCAGCTTTTTTTTGTCTAGGGCACTGTGCTTTGAGAAGACAAAAGCTATGTATGGACGATTCTTGACTAATAATTTTGCTTCTTCTCCTGTACAGTCTCTTGTCGTTAAACCTAACGAAAGAAATCGCTGATCCACATTTTTCTGATGTATTTTATTCTACAGTAAAAATAAAAACAATTCATGGAAAGATAATGGGTTCTCATCACTTATGTCTCTAATCGTATAGCCTATGGTTCGGTTTGAATATCGCCATATCGGAGGGTCCATATATAGTAACCTAAATTGTTACTATTATAACAGGGAACCAAAAACGTGTTAGCATCCAAGTATTATCTTTTCGTTAATGACTTATTACCATTTGGAAGAAAATTGCTTTAGATAATTGAAATCGGATATAGCTGTTTTACATTTTCTTATAAAACTATATTCAGAAAAGGAGACCGTATTTTTCTGGAGTCAAGAGATCTAACAATGGTTTAGGATCTTTTTTTTTCTGTCAAATAGCAATGGTTTAGGATCATGCCTCGAGATCTTCATTGTCATTGACTATTGTTACAAACAGGATCTGCTCATGCTCTAACCTTTATAATAATTAAACTAGGATTTTTAGAAAAATCTAAGGATAAAGCCTTTTATGTGGCCTTAGTTTGTGAAGGAAAAACAAAGCAGAATACATGCTACATACACATGTAAATGATTAACGAATAATATCACCTTCTTTACAACTATAACTTCAAAATTTAAAAGATGGAGGAAGCATTTTAAAACGAACAAAAGTTTAGAAAGCAAATGAACGGTACCAAACTGATCCATTCAAAGATTATACTAAATCCAGAATAATTGAGTTCTTCTCTAATCTCTACCGATCAGAGACTTGTCCATATATATAATATATTCTTGATCTATGATAACTTATCTTTCAAACTCAGGGGTAAAACCAGATATGCCAACTCACCTAGTTGGAAATAGGGTTTGGACCACTAGGAACTTCATGAGCATCATTTCCAAACTCTTTCTTTCTAGAAGTGTGGCTGGATCGTGGGTGAGCCTTTGGACGCAGATCTATCGTGGATGAAACTGGAGCCGAAGATTTAAGAAGAACCCTCTTGAAGGGAGCGACAGTGGATGTGGACTGATGATGATGAGTCATGGGGATTGTAAGGCCAATGAAGAGAATGAAAGAGAAAAATATAAGGAGAAGACGAAGAAGAAGGGTATGAGAATCTGATGATTTGGTATTAGTGTGGTCATTTGATGTTGCCATGCAATTCTGAAAAAAAAATTACCACCCCCCCAAGATCCCAAGAGGGTTCAGTATCCATTAACCAGAAACGAACAACTCGAGTGCTGGTCAGAGCCAACAGATAAGAGAGGGCAAGGAAGAGATGAAACCAAAGAAAGATCTAGTACTTACGAAGAAGAATGAGCTTGAGATGAAAAAAAAAAAAAGAGAGGATGAAAAGAAGAAAGAGGTTTTTCAAAATTTCACACTCTTGAATTTCATAAATAAAGTAAGCAAAAGTTGTATGAAAAACGATCTCTGAAATTACCAATACAACCTTTGCTCAAGATGCGCCTGGAGAGATAGATATATATGGTGAATTCAGACTAGGGTTTGCCTAACGCGAGACAAGACTCGTTCGGATTTTTCTTTCAAATAGATTACCATTTACCATTAAGCCCCTGAAAAGACTTGTCGGTAAGCATGTCACTGCAGAACGAGCAATCACATGAAAGAGGGCAAAACGTGTAATGGTAATTGAGTCATTAATTAAGCTATTGCCAACGAATCTTAAAAGCTTAGGCAAAAGGAAAAGGTGATAACATAACTGAAAGGAGAGGAGGTGGAAGAAAGCAGTGTTCTTGCTTTCTTTTTTAAAAAATTTCCATTTTATATATTATTTTCCCAAGAAAATTAATTTTTTGACTAAATTGACCAAACACCAATTGTATAACAACGTGTATCAATATCAGTCAATGAGATAAAAATAAATCATATAGGACTAAATTATGCATTTTTTTAGTTCCCCATTATGTTTGGAAGTCAAATTATACCTTATATATGATACTTTTTTTACAAGTTACGAATGTATGTCCTCTGTACAATAATACCATGTCACTGAAAACAAAATCATTAATATTATCAGTAAGGCATAAAATGAGGGAACTAATATAGGACAACCAAATTAAACTTTTTTTTAAATCATAGTGTGAATATATAATCCACGATATTATTTTAGTACAACATAAAATTTAAACAAACAAAAAATCACAATTTTTGATGAAAGATAACTAAGAAAGACATTATATAATTGTAGATAGATAGGCAGGATTTAATGAAATGACACAACTAGAAAAAATTCAATGAAGGTAATGTTGGAGCAAAGCTATACCTTGGTTTCAAATGGAAAATTTCTAATGTAGAAATAATCCCTAGTATTATTCGATACCAACTGACGGAACATTCTGGTTTGCCGATATCGATTATATCATGGAGAGTATAGGTTAAAAGAATGAGATCTCTAACAAGCCTAATCTTTGGACATCATATAATTGTAGATAGATAGGCAGGATTTAATGAAATGACACAACTAGAAAAAACCGATGAAGGTAATGTTGGAGCAAAACTTAACCTTGGTTTTAAATGGAATACTAAATTTTTGACCCGCACTTAAAAAGTGCGGATACTAATTTTGTTGTTTTATCTTCAAAAGGAAAAAATAATAATTTGTTTTGATCATATAAAATGGTACATGATCAAAATCAAGTTTCAATTATGCGGATATGAAGAAATTTTTTAAAAGCATTGATACTTTTTTTGTTGATAGTAAAGTCAAATACTAAATGCATTTATAACTATTATTATATATCTGTAATATAAAAGTGTTGTTCTATTATTATTATTTCAGTTTGGTACAATGTTTTCAATGAATTTTCATATCCGAATGAGATCTATTGATCTATTTGTTGATATATTATTAAATATTTGATTTGGATAAGAAAATATTTTTGTGCATAAGATTTGATCACGAATTTGCGTTATTTGTAAGTTGTCGAAATCTATTTAAAGATTAAGATCAGGTATCTATACTATTAAAAATGTTATTAAATTATTTTGAAGTATATTAACTATCAAACTACATTAATATAGAACAAATTATTACTCATTTGTTTTTAAGTTTTTATTAATAGTATCTATTCTAAAAATCTTTTAAAAACAGTTTGAGACAAATGTTTTATTATTATAAATCTACATTATTTTTAATCTAGAAAGACAAATATGTGAGAATAATAGCATATTCTTAATAATGATTTCTTGCCTTTTATTATTTTTAACTTATGATAGTAAATTTATTAGCATGAGTCAAAATTTAATAGTATAGATTAAAAATGTTTTATGCATATATTTGAAATCATTAATGATTTATATGGTTATATTTATTTTCCCTTTCAGTATTTTTTGCAAGAATATTCAAAAATATTTTGAAAGAAAATTAGCTAATTAATCAAACCCATTAAGTATATATTGATTGTACTTAATTATATAGTTTTTAGGTCAAAAAAAAAAAGACATTAATGCCATTAATGAAAATTTTAATTTGTTTATAACATTAAGAATAATTTTGAAAACGTTAACATTTCATTAAAGGGAATAATCTTCTTTTAATGCTATTGATTTCTAATGCAGAAATAATCCCTAGTATTATTCGATACCACCTGATGGAACATTTTGGTTTGCGGATAGCGATTATATGGAGAGTATAGGTTAAAAGAAAGGGATCTCTAACAAACCCAATTTTTGCATGGTGTTACGTATAGAGGATTAAAATTTAGTCATATATACACAGAAGTGTGACCTTGTACATATATTTGACAAATATATAATGTTATAGTACCTTCTTTCAGGTAAAAGTGTATTTTATACATTATCTATCAATATATCACGGAAAGAATAAGAGTCAGCGCGCGCATTAGGGCGGTGGCGTGAATGTATGGAAGAAGCGATCCGGTTATCTCTTTTTTCTTCTGCCATTAAAAATGAACGTATAAAATATTCGATTAGATTTTATGAATAAAGAATAATATTCGATTACGGAACGACTATGTATGTCCCCGTTACGTGGATTGCATGGGTCCCTTGCGTTCTCGGAAAGATGCAGTTGAGAACGATTGAACGTTGTGATTTTTTGCGTCATTTTATACCTCTTTTTCGTTTCTCTTTATCTTTATGTTTTGTTTTTCCTCATTGTATGCTATTCACATTTAACTGACAATATATATACCGTCGGTTGATGACTTTGAGAACTAAAAATAATAAAATATTTGTAGTAATAGAAACTAAAAGAATAGATGTATAGGAAACTAATCAACAAAAGTAAAGTTCATTTTATTTAACAAAGTATTTTTTTTCAGAAAAAAAACCCTTGACTTTTCATGATTAGAAAAATTTCGAAAAATGAATGAAACTTGTTTTTATTTTGGTAAAATTTGGGTGAAGGAAACTTGTTAGGTGATTACTTTTGTATACAACTATAGCTTGTGTATGCACAAGATATCATGAATTGTTCACCATTTCTATCAGTATAGTATGCGGCTATCTTTGCTATAGCCTATAGTGTATAGATCTATTTCTGAATATTTTTGTGTTTGTATATTTGGAGTTGTTAGAACACCCTAAAGGCTAAAAGTTTTGGAAGGATTTTTGATTTTTTTTTTCTCAGCAAATTTGTATTATAATTTTCATACAATTTGTTTGTCTAACTTTTAAAAAAAAACAAGTGTTAAGGTGACACATATCCGTTAGAGTTCTTCTATGAGGTTTTTATAGTTATTCATTAGAGTTTTTATTAACATATTTTCCCTCTTTTCCCTTTTTCGAATTCTGTATCATTGAGAAACTCAATTAGAACAAAACAATGGACTTGTATATAGGAAATGGGAAAACCAAGTGGTGAGCTGTATAGAGACTTGGAAAAAGAGTTGAGATAAACCCGAACAATATGGATGATCTTTTTGATAAGAGGATGAGCGCACGAGTTCCTTTATCTTCAGATGGTGTAGATACAAATCCAAAATATGACATTCATAATAAGGAAATATCAATTAATGTCTAGAAAGAAGATATGATCTAAAAAACGAACTCGGTGATTGTATTGACGGATGAGCCATTTGACGGTGAAAAAGTCCAAATCTCATTGCCGCATTTGACAATCGAACAATATATGTTGACAAAGTTTGTTTTCTAGGTTATAATATTATAAAATTTGTTGCTTAATACCATTGTGATCGCAATATGCTATCATGACTAGTGTCTGGATCACACCCGACTAATTTAAAGGTAAACATGTCATATATGATATAATTGGAGTTTTCCGCAAGCCTATCTAGAAAAAGCACCCGGGTCAAAACCTAAAGTTCGAAAAAGCCATATATGCATATCTATAAATGGTGACCAAAGGAATGAGGAGGAACAATGCATTCCTTAATGTTCCTAAAATAATTTACCATTCATAAGGAATAGTTTTTCCTTTCTATTCCTCCTCATTCCTTTTATTGTAGAGATTTATTAAGCACATTTGTTCCTTATTAAATTTGATAAGGAATAGTTATTCCTCTTCATTCCCATAATTTTATTCCCATCTATTCTATTCCTATTCGTTCCTGATATTCCCGTGATGGTTACCAGTTAGAGCCATAGTGAATTCGCCAAAAAGGAATTAGAAAACCCATAACACCTTTAGAAAGAAAAAATAATAGAGAGAAATATTTTTTTGAGTGTTTATTACTAGTATGAATAAATAATCTATAAATAATTATTTTTTTCAAAAGTCCCATAAAATTATTAAAAAAACTGGAATATTTTTGATTCAATGTTTTTTTTTTTGTGAAAGGGTTTAGATTCAATGTTTACGATACTACAGGCAGGAGGAGCCTTCGACCCACTCCCTCATAAACATGTCGCGTCTGGCCCGTGACTCTACATCCAGCCTTTGTCCCGTTGTGTTCCTCTCCTCGCTCCAAAAGGATATATTTGCAGTTTCATCTGTAAATTTTTTTTTTTTTGCTAACCCAGTATCCGACCACAAAGCGTGATCGACTAGCCTACCGGGCCTAAGCCCATGTCATGACAAATTTTTAAGCGTCCATCTAAGGGCTCCTGGTTAAGCTAAGTGGTCTGGGGCGCCACACCAACTCCGCATGTTAATTATGTAGTGGCCGGGGTTCAAAGTCGGGTGGCGGACACCTCAGCAGAGGTTCCATTATCACCAGGCTACGAAGCCCGGTTCATCTATAAATTTTAGATCACCTATAAACAACATAGGCTTGGTTCTGAGTGCAATCGAATGCGGAACTGTGAATTTACGCCAAAATTCGCTTATAATAAATGGTTAAACAGAAGTAAATTATTCATAGATCATAAAGTTAAACATATATAAAGGCCTTTTGTATGGACGCCACCAATTGGGGTGATATCGATAGGTCATATCTGCTTCACCATTTAGCGAAAGGCATGGGGGGAGCTGAAATATTTGGTCCCATATCGCGCTCTCCTTTTTTTAGTCGAGCCTTTTTTATCTTTACTTTTCTTTCACCTACTTTATTTACTTTTTCTCGCCTA